ATTCATCTTACATTTTTGCATTTCAGAAACAGATGGGTTGCGTCTTCTTCCTCTTCTTGACACAGGTTGCATTTGCCATCACCCATTGTCACGCCTAATCCTCTTTAGTTTATTTTGACCTATGTATATGCCTGTGGGTCTCAAAATTTGAATTAATCATGCATCTTCAAATAAGAGATTATTAATAATGGTTTGGAATTTGTTTGTACCTGTGGATACAACTATTGGTTCTCTCGAAAATTGGATTCGTACTCAAATTACTCAATTGGAAATATTTACAAAGTCACCATGACAGTGAATACCAATATATATATGTATATATAATTAAGGATTTTAGTGTTGGTTCCACACGCATATGCAACTCCTATATAGTGGTCCTCAATGGGATGTTTTAAATTAATGGTTAAAACTTTGAAACTTTAAATTAGAGATCTTGAATTTAAATTTTGAGATGGATGAGGAGAGGTCAAGGGAAGGGAAGTACTATCCTTGATTCTATAGCTCATAATTTGATGTACTAAAAAAAAGGGAGAAAAAAACTCCTATATAGTCAAACTTAAGGAAATGGTTATGGCCACCTAACAAATTGTTGGGGTTGCACGAAATTTTAAATTTTATCTTTTAAAAATGCCGATTCTATTTAGTTTGATGGTTTAAAATAGTTAATAATTGTCATTGTTAGTTAATAAATAATAAAATAATAAATATTTATTATTTAACATATTAAAATCAATCTACATATTGATATTTTTAAATAGGGTGGTGTTATAAGGATAATTTTTTTATATCACCTTTTCATACAACTTTCATATATCATTAAATGAATTGATGCATTCAATATCACAGGTCTCACATAAATTAAAAGAATCAATAATTTTAATGATATTTCAAGTTATACAAAAAGTAAAACAAAAAGATTATATAAAAATCATTTCCTTTTTAAATATTATAATTGACTGTTTATAGAAAAAAAAAATTGTGTGGCCTAACAAATTGTTAGGTGGCCCTTTATTTCTTGAACTTATCATCCCATTTATTGTTATTTGTAATTTTTTTTTATTAATCGATATATACATTTCTTTTGTTATATTCCCTAAAAATAGAAAAAAAAAAGAAAAGAAAGGGAAAAGCGATATATTTTTACTGACATAATTTTTAGTAATTATTGAAATGAACTTCGGTATTTGTTTTAAAACTAAATTTTTCTTTATATTTGTAGATTAAATGAAATTAGCTCTTCTACATTTTGATTAAAATAAATTAGTCAAAAATTAAATAGATGATGTACTCAAATGTCATCATTTCTCCTTTTCCTTTAATATCCATTGCATTATAAGTTCTTACTTATTTGTCAATCTTGGGCGCATTTTTCTGATGACATGACATATTTTTTATGAGATGGACGAAATAAGTGGCAAAAGGGATATGATTTCTTGTTTTGTCCAACATGTAAATAAAATGTCAACAATGGGTTCAAGTTGCCAAATCAACAAGAACTTACAAGGATTGAAAAAGATGGAATGATGATGTATTATGTCATTTGTTAAATTTTGAGTAATTTGTTTCAATAGAAATATAAGGAGGTTAATTTTTTTTGGAAAAAGTATAGGGATTTTTTTCAATAATCATTGGAAGTAGAAGGGTAAATATACCCTTTTCACTAAAATAAAAAAAATTATATAGTTTAAACTACGTTAGATTACATAATACAAACTATTAAATAAAGGGTAGGTCTTTAAATTTTGGGACTATTTCTCTATCCAAGAGTTCATGTATGTAGTCTAGGCTAAAAAATCAAAAACTCAAAATAAAAATAAAAGAGAAACCTTCATAAGCTTTTGTTTTTTTTATACATTTGCTTATAGATACCAAGATAGGCATTCTCCCTATCAAACAAGGATTGTCATCCTTCTATTTCAATTTTTTTCCCCAAGTTTTAAACTTTAAACGTCTAGCTTGCTGTCTCAAACTCATATAGAGCATATATCAATTTCTTACAGTCAAAATTTTGTATAAATAAAGACATAATTTTTTAAAATATTTTTAATTAAAAATATAATATTTTTTTATTGATTAAGGTTATTACCTTTTAAAAGTGTTTAATTAATAATATGATGTTTGTAATTTTACTAAAAATGATAATAAGTGAATGTGAATGTTGACGTGTCATACGAAGTCCATTTGCGGGACTATTCTCGCTAACGTGTTTAAAAATGGATGATATCTATGGATATGGTATCCTGGACAAAAAATGAGAAAAAAAGGACACAGGACTATCATAAACTAAAATATGCATTTAGTCCTTTATTTTAATAAATTTGATATTGTTAACTTTTTATCTTATATTATGAAGTTTTGTGTCCCTAATTTAAAGGTTTGAAGATTCTAATATCTAAACTAATAAAATCGGTTAACTCTCTTTATAATAAAATATTTACAAAATCAGTTCTCAAAAATTAAAAATTTAACAATTTAGCTTCAAAAGTTTTAAAATTAAAAATAATTAATTGATGACTTTACCATATATACCATAACAGGATTAGATATTTATAATCAAATCAAGTGATTAACTCAATCTAAAAAAAAAATCTGACTAGAATTAAAGAAAATTTTTTTATTATATTTTTTTAATCTCTTGGATTTTCTATCTTAACTTAGCCAAGAAATTTTTTTAAATCTCAGTTTGAATTCTTTCTTTAAATTGAACTAATCACTCAATTTGATTATAAATATCTAATATTATTTTAGCATATATAAGAAAATCATCTATTAATTCTCTTTAGTTTATTAATTTTTTTTTATTTTTAAACTTTTGAAACTAAATTATTACATTTTTAATTTTTAAGAATTGATCATGTAAATATTTAATTCTTACTTTAACGGAGAATTTACGGATTTAATTAGTTTAGGGACTAAAATTTTCAAATCTTTAAGTTTAAGAGTAAAAAACTTCATGGTATAAAATAAAGAATTAAAAACTTCAAATTTAATAAGGTAAAGAGCCAAACATATAGTTTACCCACTATCTCTTATGCATGTCCTCTATTTGTTTTAAAATAATAATTATTTTTTATTTAAAATTTAAATCAAACTAATTGTCAATTTAAAAATTTTTTAATTAAGATAAGTATTTTTTTCTTACTTTAATCCTATTATTATCCATTAAATTTAATTATTTATTCTATAATTAAAATTTCTTTTTATCTTTATCTCTTTCTTTAGAGATAATATAGATAAATACTTAAATTGTCTTTCAATTCTTAATATTTGAAAAAAAATTTAAAAAAATCACAAATTTTTTTTTTTTTTTAACTGGGCATATACTATCATACATAAGAAAGCAAAGTACCACACTATATGCCCACACATCGATTCCATAGTACCATATATATTAATTTTGCACATACAAAGTACAAGCCATAGATTTCCATAACCAAACATAAGTTTATACGTGTTGTTCCACTTTATTCCTTGTCTACCCATCATATGGCGCGGCTATGGGTACTAATTAATTTTTGGTTTTGTTAGGGCCAATCTTTGGGTTTGTTAGAGCCCGTATATTTATGGTGACTACTAGGATCAGAATCAGATGAGTTATATTTGCCAGAATCTGGAGTCGTTTCATCATCAGCAGCACCATCAGTACTACTTGGAACCACTGTGCAGCGTTGCTGGCATCAGTAGCTGCACCAACTTCAGCCTTGCGACCTAGGTTGGCCTCACTTAGGAGTTTGGGGTCAGTCATGGCGGCGTTGGCTTGTAGAGTCGCCACCCAAATCATGAGAAGAGCGGAAAGAAATATCAAAAAGGTTGCATTCTTCATGGTTGAGATATTGAAGTTAGCTAGGATTTTCAAAATGTGACGTGTAGTGAATAATAAGTGAGTAAATATGGGTTTTTATGGACAAGATATGGGACGCTGTTCAGGGTGAGGAAGGTTGAGTCGTGACTGCCGAGCACTATAAAAAATTATATTATTGGGGCTGAAATGAGAGCACAATGTTGGGACACCATTTGGTGGGGCGACTATCCACCCAATATAATTATTATAAAGATTGATAATTAAGAAATTTTTCATAGATTATTTAATTTTTAATTAAATAATTCTGGTGTATGTTTTTATTTTTGGGTTCTAATCATCGTACGTGCGGAAAAAGGGAGGATAAACAAATCTATGAATGTTGACTTTTACAAACTGAATTTTCCTTAATGGAGTTTTAGAGTAGTTGATTCGCACAATTTCGAATCTTTCTAGCAATTTCGAATGTAACTATACTTGTCATTGTAATATATTATAGTAATACTTTTTCAATGTGGTTATGAGTTTGAATCTTTATTTTGAATATGAATTTTGTAAGGGATCTTTGAAGATCAATGTTATTCTTTATTATATAATCTATTATGTAACATATATAGCATGAAAAAAAAAAAGGATTTTTGAATTATATCAACATTATATTGTTCACTATATTTAAAATAATAATAATTTATTAACAATATTTATTGATAACAAATTTTCACAACTATTGCAACTATCATATATATGACCCATCCCTTTTGGTTTTGCCTAGTTTATCAATGAAATGACCAAATTTTGGAATTTAGCTACCTATTGGAATTGGATTTGTGATGCATTTCATGTTCTTTATTTATACCTATGAAAAATAATTAATATACACTCAATTTAACATATTTTTTGACACTATCATATTTTTGGGTTTCTCTCATGCACTGCTTTTAGGGTTGAGAGTAGTGACGGTGAGTTTTCCTCCAAGGGTCTCTCTCCGACAGAAGAGTTCCTTCATCCCTCATTTCTTCTTACCCCTCCCTTCTTCCTCTTAATCTCCTCCTTCATCTTATCGTTGTCTTGCTTTGGAAACTCCAACCCAAGGGACCACAAGGTAGTGACTTTTTGGGTTTTCTAACGTTTACATTTGTCGATTTTCTAAAGCTACAATTGGAATTGATCTTGCGGATGAAGTGGGTTTCTCCTATTTAACAGGCAAGAATCTCGCTTTGGAGCATCTCCTTTGATGGGATCTTGGCAGCAGTCGAATTTGGTAAATTTGGTTCACACCAATTCCTGATTAGCTAGCTGATTGCCAAAGGAAAGGGATGTTGTTGGTAAGGCTAGCTATCGTCTACATGGGAAGCTTGATTTTCAAGCCAACAAAGGGGCTCTAGTTCCCTTAATGAGTTTCGACAGCATGGGTTTGAAGAGGATCAACAAAGATGGGAACATGATTGGGAGTATACGGAGACGATTGGGGGGCCTTGTGCTTATCAGGAGAAGGCCTATATCTCTCTTGGTTGTTCTTCTTTAAGAACAAGTAGGGCGGCAACTTGTGGGTTAAGAACTGTTTGTTGCCGAAATCCTTTGTTCTCCCCAAGAAGCTAGTTAAATAAGTGAGGATGTCCAGTAGTTTTTAATGCTCATAGTGACTCCCCTTTCTACATTAGTAGTGTTATTTAGTCCATACAATGATTGTAAATTCAATCTTTAGTTGCAGATAGCTCTTTTTGCTTAATTGTTTATATCTGTCATGAATATAGTTTAAGTCTGTTACTAGTGTTGTAGGTTATGCTTTTGATTTTATCTTTAGGTTATTATGATTTTGGCTATATGCCATAAGATGGAGATTCTATTGTAATTTCTTATTACTTAATATATTTCTCTATTTTCCATAAAAAAAAAACATATTTTTTTACACTCATTCAGTTTATTTATTTAAAATATAATATAAATACA